GCATTTATCAGACCAAGACCAACCCGGGGTTCGCCCCGGTCCCTTTGGTGACTCCGGATAACACAGCCGATCGCGCGGTCTTCGCACCGGCGACAGATCATTCGAATGCCCTATCAACTTTCCGGGAGTGTATATAAAAAGACAAATAGATCTTATATACACACCGGGAGTGTATATAAAAGACAAATAGATTTTATATACACTCCCGGAGTGTATATAAAAGACAAATAGATTTTATATACACTCCGGGAGTGTATATAAAAGACAAATAGATTTTATATACACTCCCGGAGTGTATATAAAAGACAAATAGATTTTATATACACTCCGGGAGTGTATATAAAAGACAAATAGATTTTATATACACTCCCGGAGTGTATATAGCCACGTTCTTCATTTAATACAGCTTTGCATAGGCAACACCTGTTTTCATTGATTGCTTGATTGATATTGTACTATACATTGCTCATTAACGGTGCACACCCCAGTTCTTCCGCGACAGGGGTCGACGATAGTCCGTTGTAAAAAAGTGACGAAAGGGTTTTGAGGGTCCAAGTTTGAGGTGACATTTCTTATAAACTGCCACGAAGTATCATTAAACATTAACATGGCTGAAGAGTGTAAGAAATGGTGATTTTGGGGTGAAAATTTCTTTTGGCTCCGAACCTTACTTCCGGGTATCCTTGCGCGCCAAGTGTAATCCGCCCGTTTGACCTAGTTTTCGCTCTGCGGCTTCGTAGGGGTGGATTTGCAACCCCTCGCGCCGTGGACTGTTTAGAAAATTACAGTACTAGAATTTTCTGTAAAAAAAGTGTATAATTTACTCGGGTATAGTCAAGGCTTGGGTCTTTCTGCCAGCATCAGTCATTTCTGCCGGAAAATTTTTTTTGTGGGATTATCCTACGCGAAAATTCGCAATTTTGGGCATTAATTTTGGAGTGAAAATAATGTTTTTTCCGTTGATTTTACCAAACTTAAAAAGGTTGAAGAAACCAAACTCAGCTTGTCTTGTAGCTGAAGAGATACCCTTTCGTCCCATATACAGTTATTCTCCTTCCGAATTATTCCACGCCAGAGACGGTCGCTAGATTTGAGGGTGTGCAGCTTCGAATAGAGGCCCCAAATAAACTGGGGTGTGCCCCCTTAACAATGTTGTGTACTGTAGGTATGTGGCCTGTCGTTGAAATTGCAAAATTGGTCATGTAGTTATGCAAAAAAAACTGTTGAGTTGATGTCTGTGATTGGTAAATACTAGTTTGCACTGTGCTTTGTTTCTTATATACACATGTACGTACTGTATATCCAAAGCATTTTGCAATTATCATGTTTAATTGTCAAGGAGAATCTGCCAGCCTCTGAGCTAAAAGTGTGATAAAAGGTCTTTACTTGTGTCATAATGTCTTACACAATATTACCTCAATTTGCCTTCCAGGTTGAGAAACCTGCTAGAGCAAGAAGAGAAGCAGTACCTACAGCAGATGGAAGCCCAGGAGGAGACAACCCTGGAACGACAGGCCAAGATGCGAGAGAGAGCCAAGTTTCTGAAGGAGAAGAGAGAGATGGAGAGACAGCGGCTGGTCGAAGAGAAACTGGATCAACAATGGAGGTACAAAATTGTTTGAGAGCATCTCATTGGCTTGATTTTAACCATTTTCTTCATTATGTGAATATTAAGATAATATTGTTAAGTTTCAGTCAATATAACGCCTCTTTTTGATTAAGTTCTCTGAATGTGTTTCTTTTCACTTAGAAAACTATCTCTTTTTCTTGCCTGTTTTTTTTACAGTAATTGAATTTCACTGTGTAAAATTTGGATACTATAAATCACTTTGTATTCACGTTTTTTCGCGGTCACTTCTGTAGCACAAATTCATTGTTACTGCAAACAAATAATTCACCGAATTTCTTTCTTCTGCACCTGCTGCCACCACAGACATACATGTACTGGTATATATCCATTTTGCTCATACCGCGAATATAAAAATTATTTCCTTAACAGGAATGGTACAAACAAGCAGTCTAACTTTTGCAATTCAAAACATGTCTTAGAAGTGACTTTTAAATTAGTTTTTGTCCCAGCATCGATCAAGATGCAGCTGTCTAAAATCCAAGCTTGCATCACACAGGGAACAGTGTGAGGAGCTGAGGTCCAACCTGAGCCGCCGCCATCTTGACGAGGTGTGCACAGAACGCCAGGAACAGCTGAGGGTGAAAGAACACATCAAACAGCAAAGGGAGGAGGAAGAGAGAATGTATGCAGGTAGGTTACGACAAAGGATGTGTGCCCTGGGTAAACCCCAATAACCTAAGAACAAGAAAAATCCTGCCCACTGACTTTGCCAGCACTTTGGGAGGTCACATTGTCAAATGGAAATAGTGAACATCACTGAATTGTTAGAGGACAAATAAACTGGCATGAAAGACAAACTACTGTAATTTCAGTTTTGGGGCAAGAGGTGATTCATTGGAACTTTGGTTTCTACCAGTCCTGCATACATCGGGGTGATATTTTACCCAAATCGATATTCACGGCTGCCTAATCTACCGAGCAGGGCAGGCAGAAGACCTGTCATAACGACAAGAAAAAGAAGTATACTTTTGCACTTTGATAGCTGAAAACAAAAGTTAGCACTATATGACTGACTGTGTGTTTCGCAGAGTTGTACGAGAAGGATCGTCTGGCCAAGGCAGTGCGAGAGGAGGAGGAGGCCAAGGCCCAGATGGAGAGGAACAGGGAGATGCTGGAGACACTCAACCTGCAGAAGGCAGCGCTGGAGGTGCAGAGACAGGCAGCTGCTGACCTCAAGAAGGAGGAGGCACAACTTCTGGTTTGTTATTTTTGACTGTTGAATTTTTCTTAATGCTGCAATATTTCTTGTGTTAGTACCTGGTGGTTTCAGGGTTTTAGCTCACTGTTATTTGTTAAAGGAAGCTATCATTCTAGATTATGCAAGCCCTTTATAATTTCCCTTGATTCTTTGATCGTTGCTACTTATTGTTTGAAGCAAACGCTTAAATTTTAAAAGACAGTATAACCTGGTGTTCTAATATCTCCTGACCAGTTGATCTTAAATTCCTTCCACAGAGAGAAGAGAAAGAACTGAGGAAGATTGAGGAACAGCGGGCAGCGGAGGAGAAGGTGCGGAAACAGCGGGAGATGAGGGGAGACCTGGACCGCTCCATCCGCATCAAGATGAAGAAACAGGCCAAGGAGGTGCAGGAGGAGCTGGCTCTGGACATGAAGATTCTGGAGCAGCTTCTGCAGGAGTCCAGGAATGAGGCCATGGAGAGCATACAGAGGAAGGTAGGGTGTCTAAGGTTATTTTTTTTTGCAACCACAAGTTTCTTACCTCCCAGCAATTTGGCATCTTGTCAGCTGCCTTCTTCAGGGCATAATGAACTCTTTCAAATGACTCTCCAGTATAATGTAGTTATTCATTGTAAATGTATAATGTACTTAATATGACTAATTAGGCTATATAACTAGCAACAAATACAAGAAGCACCTAATGTGATATATGACAAACTGAATACACAAGAAATGTATGAAGATGAATATGAAGAAGGCTGTTGAAAAATTAGTAGCTGTAACATTACATATCTTTTGGTTAGTTACCAAATGTTGTTAAGTCTACATTGATAAGAGATAGTGAAGCATGATTTTAATCATGTTAAAAAATCTACATGGTTGAAAGTTAACAGCTTTTGTCTTCCAATTGATCATGCTGATTCTGTTGTTTTCTTGACTTGCGAACATCATGGACACATAAAACATGGTACAGATTAAACAGGTGAGAGGGAATGGTGCAGTATGGGTGAAAACTTTCAGCCACTTCTGAAATGAGCTGAACTGCACTATGATACAAGTTGATTGTCAGACACACAGCACAAGATTTGAAACACAAAATGTTCTTATTATCTTTCCAAAATAATAATGGTATGTATTGGTGAGATTTCACTCACTTCTGCACAGGAACATAACATTGTACAATTCACTTCATGCCTCCACTTTTATACCTGGTACAGGCATGACCTCTCTCACTCAATCCAGGGTATTCTCACTCCTGTGGAGGGACCCCTCCCTTGACGGATTCCATTCTCGTCTGAGTCTGGCACTTCTGGGGCATGCAGGGGCAAAGTGTTGCACTAGACTGTCCCTCCATCTCCTACAGGGCTGTCATCTATTATGCACTGCTATAATATTCCATCATAGTACAGATGTTGTATGTTTTTCCTATCGCATGGGAAATGACTGTCATTTTTTTCTGTGGTGTTTAGCGTGAGCTCCGAGAGGAACAGCAGCGTTTCCAGGAGTACCTCGCCCGGGAAGCAGAGCGCGAGAAAGAGCGTGAACTGGAGCTGGAGCAGCTCATCGATGTGGAGGTGCAGAAGATGTGGGCCAAGCGACAGGAGCAGTGGCGACTCGAGCGCGAGGCACGTCATCGACTCATGGCAGACGTCCTGGCCACAAGGAGAAAGCAAGTGGAGGACAAATGTAAGCATTCTCATTACTCAACTTTTGACTCTGGAACATATCTATGTCATACATTAGTCAACTTTAAAACTCCTTTCATACAGATAATGTTCTTATCTTTGTTCAAACGCATAAAATGTATAGAACGAATTCTCTGCTTACCTGCTGCAATCTTCTCGTGACTACAAATGACCAATCACTTGGTACTGCTATCATTAAAATGTGTCAGGAAATTTATACTACCCACCATCTCTGTTGCATACTGATGTAGATGGCCTCCTTGATTCCTCTCACAAAGTAGTCCTGTTTAGTGTGACCTGTTTATATCAATAATTTTTTTGCTTGCTTTTTGTTTTAGTGGCAGAAAACCTTCGTCAGCAGGACATCATCCGGGCAGAGCGTGAGGAGCTGGCCCATGCTATTGAGGAGCACAAGAGGCTGGACGCAGAGCACAAACACAGGATCAAACAAAAGAACCTGGTAAGAACTTTCCGCAGAGAGAGAATTTTATTGCATGACAATTATACATGGTACAACTATTGAACATAGCACAGATAAGATTACTTTCAAAATTTAAAAAAAAATTCCTAATGCCTTGTTTATCGTATACAGTGCTCTAACAACATGTTGTGTATTTCTACCAGGCCTACCAAAGTGACCTTGATGCCCAGATCGACTACCAGTACACTCTACGGGCACAACAGCAGGATGAGGAGTACCGGGAGTACCTGCACGGTGTAGAGGTGGAGGAACAGTACCAGCAGAAACTGAAAGAGGTCCTCGCCTCACCTGTCATCAATAAGATGCACCCCATGAAGATGGCACACAGCGCTCGCAAACAGCAGCAAGCACAGCAGCAGGAGGAACCACAATTTCTTTTGACTGGACAGAAATTGTAGAAACTTATGTAGACAAGTGAACTCATAGAAACTTGTAAAATTGTATCATAATTGTTCAGGAAATGTATCTACTGTAGTTCAATATGTGGATGAATGTTTTATGTTCATCACCTGAGGTGACTTGACAATCTACATTCAAAAATGTTACAGTTATATTTGCTTCTTGTCCATTTCTGGACAATGGTGTTTCACGAAATGTTATTAACATAACTTTTTGGCTTTGTTTTTACTGTACAGTGGAGAAAAAGTGAAGGAGACGAGATAAAAATGAAAGTGTGCATATTTGATGAATTCTATTGGTTATCTTTATTGTACAATTTGTATGAGCCAACAGCATATATATGGTGTACATGTGTAGGTCAATTTAATGACTCACATGAATGTGTCCTTGTAAATATAGACTCACATGTATTTGTTGTTCTACAATAAAGACACCCTTACTTTCAGCATCAGCTGTCTTGATTGAAAGCTCAGATATCTTTCTCATCAGTCAGGTGTTCATTCAAAACAGGACCACACAGACAATCAGTTATACTGAACAAAGAGGAATTTGCCGGAGACAATCTTGGTACAAGCCCCAGCACTGCTTCAAGGTGTTGCGTCCATTGCCGAGGTAAATTTAGTACGCCATACTGACAACCACTGATAGTCCCAACAAAATGACAACAAAGACAGCAAAGTTTTAAGAGTTTCATTCAGCTCACAGCAGTTTGTAATAAAGAATAACAAAAGAATGTGTTATTGTTAAAGTGAAAAGCCAGAGGTGAAGAAGGCAATGTTGTTATTTGTGCCCTGTCTTGCTAAGTTTTTTTTAAAGTTTTCATTCCCGGCCTATCTAATATTTTTACTTGGTTAAGTTATACTCTATCTACAGTTAGTTTTATTTGTTGTATTCAAGCTAGACTGTCTATTTGTCGTCTTATTAAGCCTCATTCTTCCCAAGCTGTTCAGTGTTTTCAAACCGAATTGTACATGTACCAACCCAAAGTCAGTATACCAACGTTCAGTATACCATGGGGCACCTGAGTTGTGCTTTTCAGGCGAAGATACACGAAGAAAAGGGCACAGAAAAGCATGGATACATCTTATGGTAAACAACACAATAAATACCAAACATTTCAAGGACAAAAGATCGACGTATGATAACCACTCAGTAGTCCAAACAACCACCTGTTCACCTATCACGCCCCGGTCACGGTACAGCCACCTGTTAGCGGTCCAATGAACAGTTAGCATGCAAGCAGAATATGTAAAAGTGACTCTCATTGGTTTGTGGACTGTTGACTGGTAATCAATTGGCAACTGTCAGTCAACTGTCGACAACAATACCTTGTTGGTGGCCCTTCGTTTTAGGGAGGTGACACTTAGCTAAGTAGCAAGACCAAGGGGCTTTAAAACAGCTTTTAAAATCTCCTTGCCAAGAACTACAAGCTAGGGGGATCACTTAACCACGTTCGGCCAATGTCGTGCCTAGACAAAATTACACGAAGAACAATTACCCACTTCCCTTTTGTCGGCGTCCTTTCTTCTATTTTATTGCTTGTGCAGGCCACAGTAAAATGTCATAGTGTGGTTCATAACTAACTGAAGGAAACTGCAGACCGTCTAGTAAGACGACAAGAGCCCAAGACGGCTCTTAGCATATTTCCTACACCATGAACATGCACTGCCATAGCATTGTAGCAAGGTTACCGTAGCAAGGCGTACACGGACGCGATATTGTGTGGAAGGCGTTCAGCACCAAGGACAGGTCTACTTATTGCCGGTCGCTACCGATGAGCGCCAAGGACAGGTGTGTTCATACATTATTCAGCTCAGGAAGAAACTGCCTTTTATGATCTTGATAATAAACTCTTAAAATTGATAGACGTTGTCCGTGCATCTTACAGAAGGTGGCAATAAAATAGACGGTAAGAAGCGTTACACGCAAAAGATGGCTTCTAGACGATATCAGACACCTGCTAACTGTGTAAATTTACCTTCTACCTACTGATTTTCAAGTGTAGCACTTGACTTTCTATTAACGTTTTTAGGCACCTATATTGTATTGTAATGTACAATGCTATTTTGTGCGATGTTTCTACATGACCGTACATGTGACGTGAACATGTACTTTCCAGCCAATTTTCCTGCATGGTACGGGCATGTTAAAAATTGATAACCTACCTTCTAGTATTTTCGTTCACCAATGCAGACCAATGCAGAGCTATCCGTATTGCCGCGGAATAGCTCTGCATGGGAGAATGCATATTTGAAGCCCGCTCTATAACATGTCAAACGCGCGATCATGATTAGAAAAATGGTAAAGCGTCACGAAAAACATATTTTTTCCAAGATATTTCTGTGTTTGAAGGCAAAATTTTCATTCATATTTTTTGGATGAGGAGCCATAGTCTCATTTTCAGGCCTTAATGTTTTTCGTGAAAAGCGCGCTCAAAAATACCGCAGATGAATGTACTGAAAACATCAGTATTACTTCGTTGGTTATTTGCTCAGAAATGACTCTAAAATACACCAGAGAGACTCTCAATTTTAAAAATAGCGTTATGCTGCTGCTAAGTAAACAAACATGGCGTCTGGCCGGGTCGACTCCGCCGATTCATGGTGATTTCTTGTTTCCAACGTCATATAACAAAGTCATATACGACTTATTTCATGCCAGAATGTAGCAACTTGCGGTACCTGCATCAAAGACCTCTTCATTTCGGTAAATTTCACTTCTGTACGGCGATCGCGTTAAACAAACATTTCGTAGTCGGAAATGTAAACAAACATGGCGACTGGTCGGCTCGCCTCCGCGATCGCCAATTCATAACGATTTCTTGTTCCCGCGGCGATATACACGTTACTTCATGTCAAAATACAGCAATTCGGTATGTTATCTCATCATATCAGGGTGTATTCCGGTAGATTTTAGCCTCCTATATGTGTTTTCCGGTGTTTTCCGGTGTTTTCCGGTGTATTCCGGTAAATAGGCAGACCCGATGGCTAATGATTAACTTGAAGTATACATACTATTTACCTTTGCTAGGAGGCATCACAGTAACGTAAAGTCTGTTGACACTCTTAGTTGGTAATCAACGTTAAACGCCTGAGAAAATTACTGATCTGCATCCCTAAATTGTGCCTTTTGTCGCTAGTTATGGGTTCACCACACCACGAAGTGGGTATGGTGAAACCATATTGCTTTTTCTGGTGTTTCTTCTTCTTCTCCTCCTCCTCCTCCTCCTTCTTCTCCTGCCATTTTTTAAATGGATTCAGCTTCTTCATTTTAGGGCCTAAGGTCCTGAAATTTGGTATGGAGGTACAGTGGGCAAATACCCTTAGACGTTTTTAAAATTTTTGTGATACAGGCTTTTAGAATGGTTTTATTTGAGTTTTTTTGGCTGTGTTATAGCAAATGTATTACTGTGTTAGTGTGTCATGTTTACCACGTTTGGGTATGAGTCATCACAATGGAATGCAGGGCATCAACCAATAGGCATGCAGCTTTCCTCTATTCTTCTTGCTGATTGGCTGTTGGGATTTAACTTGATTAACACCTGCACAGACCATTTCCACCTGCACAGAGAATTTCTTGCTGATTGGCTGTTGGGATTTAACTTGATTAACACCTGCACAGACCATTTCCATACTGACAGTATGTCTGTATTCAAGTGTTTTGGTAGGTATTTCAAGCTTTCCTGCTCCAGCATTGGAATGCGGGGCATGAACGTTTATTTTTATTTTGAAAATCAACAGTTTGCATTATGCAATTAAAAATCCTAA